CTCAGTGGACTGAGCGCCAGCCTGCAAACCAAGGGGTCACTGGTTCCATACCTAGTCAGGGCACATGCCTGGGTTGTAGGCCAGGTCCCCAGTAGGGGGTGTGTAAGAAGCAACCACACACTGATGTTTCTCTCCCTCTCTTTCTGCTTCCTTTCCCCTTTAAAAATAAATAAATAAAATCTTTTAAAAAGTATTTCCTTTAAATTAGTATATTGCATAATTAGGAATTTTTGTATGTAGATTTGCATAAAATGATATACACCTGCATTGTTTATGTATGACAATTTTTTTCTCTTTAACACTAACGCAGGAGAAAAATGTGACTCTGTAAATGGCTCCTGACTGCTACTGTTTGAGACAAGGACTGCCAATTTACCCCCAGATGAGCTTCTGAGAGCTTAATTGGAGTTATTATCTACTACTAAATCATCTCTTCCTTTCACATTTGGCAAATGTGGTGTTCTGAACTGCTCCAATGAAGCCTTTAGGCTGTTTTTCCAACCAAAGAGATCCCAGCTAACAGCAAGGGGGAGAACATAGCTTATTATCTAGTAAATAACAGTTAGCTTCTGTAGAGTCTTTTCTAATTTATTAAGTGCTTTTCACCTTATTTAGTCCTCTGGACAAAACTGTAAGACAGAGATTCTATGCTATCCTCCCATCTCACGGATGAGAGGCCCGAGACTCAGAAAATGAATTGCCAGGAATTGCAAACAACAGCTGCCAAAGTCAGAAATGGAGCCTAGATATTATGACTCCTGTGTCAATGTCTTTTTATACAACTTAGCTAGAAAAGAGAAAGCACCACTCCCAGGGTGGAGACATTAAAATGCATTTGTTACACTCAAAAGTTAAACGGCACATTTCTTTTAAAGCCATTTTGGCCAGACTCAACCACATTTATTGCAAGGATTACTACCTGATTGCATTACCTCACCCTTCCTGAACATGGGAAATAGACATTTTAAAAGTATATTTGAAGTGCTAGTCAGATGGCATGGCATCTTAAACCAGATTCTCCCAGGATTTTAGTTACTCCTACATTCTTATAAGGAAATGTGAACCCCTGAATCTATCTCCCTACTTTCTTCCCTCGGTGGATTCCTTATCAGTTTAAATAATTCACTGCCTAGCCCCTATTGGATGAGTTTCTACAATATTGGCAGACCATTTGCGAGACCTGTGGACGGGTTTATATATCTTGTTAGATGACTCTTCTAACTTAACTGCTTGGCTAACTGCACAACTATGGCTTTCACAGTCCCTGGGCGAGTGTCTGTCATTAGTCCACTTCTGACCATGGCCTTGGTATACATGTGTGACGGTGGCTCGTGACACATGCAGGATCCGTGTAGGGGGTTGTAATTTCTCTGCTTTTCCCAACTGCTTTTTAACTAGAACCCATTTCATTATTCCCTGCGTCTTGAAAACATTTTTTTTCTTCCCCAAAGTGTTAAAAGGGAAAGGAGGATTGAGTGGATCAAAGCAGAATGAATTCAGCAAACATTAAAAGATGTTCCAAATTAGGCAAAAAGTATTTGTGGCCCGAGTTGTTTTGAGTCGTTTTCCTAGCTTGCCTTAACTTTTTTTAGTTCTGTCTCGGGTTTTGTATTTAATTGCTACACTGTTTGAAACACTTCACTTCTCACTATGTATTCTATACTACGCATACCATAGTAACCACTGGTTATGATCCTAACTTAGGCTTGATTTAAAATAGAAGTACTTAAGAGTCTGAGCAAGGGTAAAAGCATTCTAACACTCATGAGCCACATTCTTTTCTCATGCCTTCCTCAGCCTATAGCCTTGGGCAGTAAATTGTAAGGTAAAATAACTAGTTTATTATTTGTTGTTTTTTAAATTCTGCTGAGAAAAGGTACATTGCTGGCAAACTGACGGAAAATTTAAAAATGGAACTCAGTATATTGTACGTATGTTCGGTGAATGTGTTCAATATGTAATATTAGGTGCTCTCTATTTCTCTTTTAATTTTTAAAAGAAGATTCTATTTATTGATTTTTAGAGAGAGGAGAAGGGAGGGAGAGAGAGGAAGAGCAACATTGACGGGCCAGAGAAACATTAATCGGTTGCCTCTCAAATGCCCCAAACCAAGGACCTGGCCCAGAACCTCAGGTGTGTGCCCTGACTGGATCGAACCAGTGACCTTATGTTTGCGGTATGACGCCCATCCCACTGAACCACACCAGTCAGGGCTTTTTAATTTTTTTTTTTTTCCTAGCTGGAATCAACAGAAATGTAATGAGTGAGCTTTTCATACTGAATGGAATGAGCAGAAATACCCTAAGAAAAGGAAGAGGTGATTCTGGCTCTCCCCTCCCCCTAAAAATACAAATAAACCATCACCTAATAATTAACTAAAAGCATCATACTTTTTTAAAGAGAAAAGCAAGGTTTTTAAAAAGTATTAAAATTTGTTTTTTGAATCTCTGCTCAGCTAATACTTTACATACAGTGTGGGGCAAGAGTAGGTTTACAGTTGCAAGTATGTGAAAGTTTATTCTTATGTTATTTTTTAATTATTATATTATTTTCCATATAAACAACTGTAAGCCTACTTTTGCCTCACCCTGTATTTATATGCTTAGAAAATGTTCAAATATTTTCTTACAGACTTGATTTTAATGTATCCCCTATTTTTCCTTACCCACGAATTTTTATTACCTTGTGTTTTTGGCCTTGTCTTCTATAAAATGTACCATTTTCACTCAGCTTCAGACAGCTTTGATGTTCTTAGTGTGGCATACTCTATGTAATATTAGCTGCTTAGAGCTGGAGATCAGATTGTGCATAATAACATATGTAGTTCGTATTGTATAAACACTACAGGAAGAAGGGGAGACAGGGCCCTTCTGTGTACAAATTTCAGATTGCTAGCTTTATGCCTGTTTTGAATGTTAAACACTTCTAAGTAGGCAGTGATGAAGTTACTTCTTTAGTGGCTGTGACTTCTGAAACTATAAAGACAATTTTTTTTTCAACTAATCTAAAGATGATGCTGGTAATTAACATAATTACTTTATGTGTTTTTCTACTTGCTACTTAGTGAGCTGGGGGGGGGGCGGGAATGAATTTCATTGTCTTCAAAGCCCAATTTAACGAAGTAATTTCATCAAATATTTGGAGAATACAGCTTAGAAGAGCCAAAGACAGAACATGATATTATACAAATGATAAATTGCATGCACTATACATTTCATCCATTATAAAGAAGTCTGAGGCAGGGAATTGTGCCAGTTGATTTCTCTAGGATTGTTTCTTTTATATCTTAATATTTCAGATTAAAATCTGTGCAGGGTTTTTATTTTTTATTTTTTTGGTGCTTGTTTGTGTCATTCTTTCATCATTAAGGTTGCTGTCCGGCTTCTTCATCTGTTGTTGAAAGATTGGTAACTTTTATGTATATCATTTCAAGAGAAATTAAATAAAACCTATTACCATGTTTTTCAGCAACGAGACATTTCAGAGTAAAGAAATAAGTCCATAGCTTCTCTGGTTTAATAAGTTTATATTTTAAATATTCATATTCTGTTTTGCTACAGGAAGACTTCAAGGCTGCTGATAATGCTTACTGCTCAAACAACAGCCCAGTAATAATCAGGCCTTTGAAACTATGGGTGAAAAATCCAGCAAATTTCAGTCATCTTTTATTTATGTAAAGCGATTGTGTGGCATTTTGCCCTCTTTCCTTTTTCATAAGAACTTTAAATATGGACACTCCCCTCCCCAGATATCTTTATATTGGGAAGCTCTGCATGAGGTGGAAGTTTTTATGGGGGAGCTTGTTTAAAACAGTTCTCTTTAAAGGCAGGTTTGCCACAGCAAGGTTAGAGGTTGCCCATAAATCCATTTACAGCAACTTCTGTATTCCCTGCTCCAGACCCACCATTGGGGTGACCTCTGCACAATACCCCCAGGCCACACAAGGAAGCAGCGGTCCTGGTTGATCCTTCTTGACCAAGGCGGGTCTAAAGGGTTTGGGGTATGGAGTGCGTTAGCCCCCTAGCCTGAAATGGCTGCCTGGGATTCCTGGGTGAAACCGGGACTCCTGAACCCAAAGCCCTATCCCAGCTCTCGCTCCGCTGGGGAATAACAAAACATTTTGGGACCTCGGGAATTTCGTTTACTGCTACCAACTGAAGCAATAATAGCATCTTTGTGTTTCTCCCCGCTCCATACCTCCTCCTCCCGCCCATAGAAGCACATCGTTGGTCCTCTGTGGATGTAACACAGGCAGCCCAGGGCTAGCCTGGAACGGTCAGAGGAGGCTGCAGACACCCGGCCCCGGGGTCGCCCAGGCAATCCTCTCTCCCTTAACATCACTAATTAGGTTTCAGCAAAGAAAAAGACAGTGCAGAAGAGATGCCCCCCCTCTACACCTTCCATCTTTTTAGCTCATTCTTGCTCCAGAAGGTGTGGAGGGAGGCAGGGGTGGAGGGGACGGGGGGGGGGGGGAAGGGGGAGAGCGAGCGAGCGAGGCAGAGAAAATTCAAGACAGCCACACAAAGTCACCCTAAAGCATTCACCAAAACTTAGCTTGGTTAATTGCTCCCATATGTCCTCCTCGGTTGTTTTCAAAAGGCAGTAAGGAGGAAAGAGGCCGTGTCACTTCACTGATTTTAGAGAGATTTAAAAAAAAAAAAGACTATCACCCATCTTGACCCAGTCCCTGAGTGGCCCAAGCTCAGGTGCCGAGGGACGGGCCACCTAGGAGAAAGCTAGGGACTCGGCAGGGAGAAGCGAGGAGGAGAGGCGCTGCGCCTGGCCCAAAGTTCGCGCGCCGGGTCTCGGGAGTCGCCCCAGCCCCAGGCGGGGAGGGGCGCGGGAGGCGCGGCCCGGGCGGGCGCGCGAGAAGAAGGTGCCTTCGGGAACACGCGCAAGGGCGGGGATTCGGGCTGCCAATGAGGCCCCGGTGTGGGCCGAGGGAGGCGGAGGTTGGGGGGGCGGTGGTGGGGACTGGCTGGATCCTTGCCTCCGCTGTGGCAGCTGCGGGAGCAGCGGCAGCCTCGGAAGCCAGAGGAGAGGCAGTGGAGGAGCGCCTAGCTGACCGCGCCCCGAGGCCGGGCCCTGGGGGTGGGGAACCGCGGCGAAGAGCTGGAAACTTTCCCGGCAGGTAACTCTTGCAGCCCTGACACCACCGCGGGCCTTGGAGCGCCCCGGGCAGGGCCAGCCTTAGCGGGGCAGAGGAGAGAAGAGGGGTCCCAGGGAGGAAGAAAGGGTCATGAGGAGAGTAGAAAGGCATGTGGGAAAGTTTCTGGAGCCTGCCCCCCCTTCTCTGGGGCACACCCGGGAGCTTTCCGGGGATAGGCTCGGACATGTTGTGCACCTCAGGCCTTAGTGCTGGCGGCTCTGGAGAGTCTGCGCCTTTCCTTCACCATCCCTTCCCCGCCAGACCGATCTGGGGTTCGGGGGCACCGGGAACGCGTGACGGCACGCTGTGTTTCAAGACCACCCCTACCCAGTCTCCTTGACCCCTTTCTCACCTCCTTTGTAGCCCTCGGGCTTGGCAAAGGCCTGGGCAGCGCCTGGTACCTAGGGCGGAGAGGCGCGCCTGGTACCGCGGGGTTCAGGGTGCCCCGGAGTGTAGGAGAGTGCGGGTCGCGAAGTTGCCGGGTGAACTTAGCCGGTGGAGGGTGGTGTCGTAATGCCACTGTTTGGGCTGAAAGTCTATTGCTTCACCTCCAAGAACGGTGCGATTAGCATATCCACGTTCTTTTTTTGGGGGGGGGGTGGTAAGATAGGTAGGATTAAACATTGAGGGGGAGCTGAGAAGGATGAAAATTGTATCAAGATGGTGAATATGTTCTTTGGAGAGTGGAGAGTGGTCACTTTGGGGGTACTTAGGGCGCGCGTTCTTCCTGAAGGACTTTGGGGTGCGGGAACAATGCGTGGGGTGTGCGGGGCTCTCCGCTTTGGCGCGGCAGCCTTCCGGAACGGCTGGCGAGGAAGGAAGCCTAGGCATTGTGTGTTGTTTTTGCATACAGCAGCGTCTCTGGGCCAGCGTTCTCAAAAACTTATTTGACTTACTGTATAACGCGCCGGGAGGAAATGCGGCGATGGCCAGGTAGAAATACGGCGCCACAGCCAGGGAGCTGGAGGACACGCGGTTCGGACACAGTCTGCCCTCCAGCCCACTCTTGCCCCAGATCCCCGTGCCTGGACTGACGGGAATCATCTCAGTAGCGCTGTTCCCCGTTAGAGAGTCAATTCGGGGAGGTTAGGAGGGCACCTTCATCTTGAACTTGACCCGAGTTGCGGCGGCGCCGTCTGGGCGGGTTACAAGGTAAAGGGAAGCTGAATCTTCCCGTGGGATGGGCCTCGAACTCGGGCAAAGAACGGAAGTGCCCGTTCAGAATCTTTGGGGAAAGGGCTTAGGACTGCTGATGCCCCTAATTCTGGAAATACCATCCCGCCAGACTGCAGAATTTACTAATGTGTTTGGAGTGGGGGCGCGGATGGGAGAGAAAAGTTAGAAACCTGGTTAGTTGATACAGAGAGTTGGTATTTCTCTGTAGAGGAAATGAAGGGAGCCTGCATCTCTGCTTTCACCAGATCGGCTGCTCGCTCTCCGTCCCCCGCCCCCGCTTTTTCCTTCCTGGGTCATCGTTATTACTACCAAGCTGGTACTCCTGCAATGGGAGTGGGGAGGTGGGGGGAGGTGGGAGGAGGTGGGGGGAGGTCGGGGGAGGTGGGGGAAGAAAAGAAAGCGTTTGTGAAGCTTCTCTGTCCAGCTTGGAGGTATTTCAGATCTGCTACTAGGAAGAGTCCTGGATTTTTAACAGCTGCTCCTTGATTGCTGGGAATGAAAGAATTTATGAGCCACTGAGACATGCTCATTATAGTAGTATGTTTTACTCATCTAAGCTACTTAAGGATTTCACAAGGGACCTTCCCTACGGTATGGCAGTTTCTGCAAAGTTTGTGTCGTCCAGAACGCTTGGTGGGTGTCAGAATGTATGGAAAATATATCCTAGCGGTGTTAAGATGAAAAGTATGCAGGACAAAAGGAAATATGGTATCTGACATCCTTCAGGACTTCCTCCTAGGGTTGCTCCTGTTACCTGCCAAGTGAATTCAATCCAGGCTTCCGGACCGTTGTGATTTGACAATAAGGGATGGGAAATAGTGTCATCGATTTTGTGGAGTCAGGAAAGTCCAGAAATAAGTTATGGGCACTTCTCATGGCCCTGTCTTTCAGTTGGGTGGCCACAAACTTAACTTTTACAGGGACTTGGAAACTATGGTTTTCCTGCTTTCTGGTTTAACCACCAGAATGTCCAAATTATCATAATTTATGTCCACCATGGAACTAAAACATAACTGATTCATAGTCAGCCTTTTTCTGCTTCCCATAACTGCTTGCAGAAAAAAAGAACATATTGTTTCTTTAACCACACACAATTTCTTTGGTGCCATAGTGGGTTGTTGATACTGGGTGATCGAGGGCACAATTTTTTTAAAAAAGATTTTATTTATTTACTTTTAGAGAGGGGGCAAGGGAGGGAGAAAGAGGAGGAGGGACACATCAATGTGTGAGAGACACATCGATCAGTTGCCTGTCATGGGCCCCCAACTGGGGACCTGGCCTGCAACCCAGGCTTGTGCCCTGACTGGGAATTGAACCTGAGACCTTTTGGTTCAGAGGCCGATACTCAGTCCACTGAACCACATCAGCCAGGGCGAGGGCACAATTTTAAAGACAATGGAATTGTCTCCACTAAATTGTCCATTTTTAGGCAATACCCCCTTCCTTCTAAGTTGCTGACTAATTCTCGATCTCCCAGGGAACATTAAAACCAATATCCCTGGGATGATGGAACTATAATCCGTATTATAATGATGCCTGCCAACATAACTGGAGGTTAGTGTTATGTTGATATTTTCATTAGACATTTCTAACCCAATTGTTCAGGTTTTCTCTGCATTGGATTGAAAGTAGGCTGTGAGTCTCATAACCAGGGAACTGGCTTTATTTTTATCTTTCTGATGAAGAGTTTAATTTAACTTTTAAGCAACAGAAGTAAAGTTTACAAAAGCAAAATAAAGCAGAGGAATTATACAGATAAGTTGATGTTCCCTGACTTATGATAGTTATGTTCTGATAAATCCATCATAAGTTTAAAATATCACAAGTCCAGCCTTGATCAGTGTGTTGTGGTTGGGTGTTGTTCCACAAAGTGAAGGGTTGCCAGTTCGATTCCCAGTCAGGGTGCATGCCTAGGTTGCGGGTTTGGTCTCTGGTCAGGGCTGTGCAGGAGACTGCCAATCCATGTTTCTCTCTCGCATTGATGTAGCTCTCTCTCTTTTTCTCCCTCCTTTCTCCTCTCTCTAAAAATAAAATAAAAATCACAAGTCAAAAATGTATTTAATAGTTCTAAAGTACTGAACATGAATAGCATAAGCTTAGCCTAGCCCACCTTAAATGTACTCAGGATACTTACAGTTGGGTAAAATCATCTAACACAAAGCCTATTTTATAATGAAGTGCTGAATATCTCATGTAATTTAGCGCATGAATCACTTTCACATCATCATAAAGTAAAAAAAAATTATAAGGCAAGCCATCGTAAGCTGGGGACTGTGTGTTTGTACATATGTACTATATCTGGGGAGGGATTTTAGTCCTAGAATAGTTTTGTTTTGAACTCTCTGAGTATTTTAGTGGTGGAAAAACTAGACCCTCCCTCGATCCCCACCAGTTTACAAAAGTGTTTCCTGGGCAAGACTCAAACTTTTCTGGGACTTGGTTTTCTCATCATTATCATCCCTAAAATGCAATGACCTTTCCACCCTAAAGTTCTGTGACTCTTCAAGACTCTGAGAAATGCAGACATTCTGGGGTCAGTGCTGTAATAGTAAAACAGTACTTTGGGGTTTACAAAGGGCTTTACCTCCATATTTTGACCCCAAACACTCAGTTAAGTACTGAGGCAGGGCAAGTTGAATCAGTTTGCTAAATATTATCTATACCTGCTGGAGTTGAACCTAGGTCTTCTGATTCTCCCTGCTCATCCCCCGTACCTCTCTTTATTCATGGTGTCACCTGTGAATTGGCCAAAACCTGACAGACTGATGTTAGTATGTGGTAGTTTCTCATTTATGGTTTATTCTGGTTTCAGGACCCCAGGGTTAACATCTATGCTTTGATGTCAGAGATTAAAAACAGTTCACTAACAGTGGTAATAAAACTTTCTCCCTTAAGAGAGTTCAGAAATTCACATACCTCAAACTAATCATTTGTTTATTCTCAACTTCTTTTTTTATTAAGTAGGCTTCAGGGTATCATGTGATTTATAATTCGGGCTAGTACTTCAGACAGCATTCTTAAGAAAATCACAGCTCAAATCTGTATGTCTTTCTAAAAATAAGAAATGAACATGTCACTTGCCTTTCATCTTGGTATCCCTCAGCTTAATTTACAAAGCCTGGATGAATGTCCCTTTTTTGGTGTCATCCTTCTTGAGCTCTTTTTACTGATGTCTAAATAAATCTGATTTTGTAGCGCTTTCTATTCTAAATAAATTCTTCCCTTATGGTGCTATTGATTTAATGGTAAAGAAGTAGTAGGTTGCAGGTGAACAATTTTCACTATCACTCTCAATGTGCGTCCTGTGTCCTGCTTGCCTACTTACGAGCTCTGAGTGCAGCTTGACACTCATCTGGAAGCTGGTATGGATTTTCTTGAAAAGGTTCTAAAATAAAATTATGTGCTGAACTATGGGCTCTTTTTTATCTGAGCAGACTCTCCATCTTCAGTTTTAAACTTATTCTAAGAAGACTGTCTTTTCAAAATATTAAGCAATGGTGTTTCATCCTCAAAAATAGGATGCATCAGTCAGCAGCAACTGACTGACTGAAAAAAGGCTGCCATTTATTTCCTTGTACACATGGAAATAAATGGCATGGAGAGTGTTTTGAAGCAGTGTTTGCTAATGAAGTCGGGATACTTTGTAATTCCTGTACTGGACAAGGACAAGAGCAGCAAAGCTGAAGAATGGCTTCTGGATGTTGTTATCGGGAGCATGGATTTTGAATGACGGGAGGACTTCTGATAAAGAAGGTTATTGGGAAACATCATCTTGTAGAGAGTAAAAGAGGTTCTGGTTTGGTTTG